CTTCAGTGCTGTCTTGAAATTACAGAACACTTGAGTCTTGGGTTAAGCAGTAGCAGCAATTTTTCTCCTTCTTAGTAGCTGGTGCAATGCTGTGTTTTTGACTTTCAGCCTGGGAACTGCACTGGTAACACTGAAGTTTTTAGCTGCTGCTCAGTAGTGTTTACTCTGACCAAGGACTTTCTGAGTCTCATGTTCTGCCAATGAGGAGCGGAAGCCAGGAGGAAGCATAGACAAGACACCTGACCCAAACTAACCAAAGATGTATTCCATCACACAGCAGGTCATGCCCACTATATAAACTGGGGGCAGTTACCCAGAAGGCCCAGCTTGCTGGTCAGGTCAGGCTGGGTATAGGCAGGCAGGTGGTGAGAGGTTGTATTCTCTTTTCTTTTATTTCCCTTATCATCATTATTATTGGTGGTAACAGTGGCAGTTTTGTGTTATACCTTAGTTACTGAACTGTTCTTATCTCAACCCATAGGAGTTACATTCTTTCAGTTCTCCTCCCCAGCCCTCTGGGAGCAGGAGGAGGAATAAGTTGGGGAGTGAGTGAGCAACTGCATGAGTTCTGAGTGGTTCCAAGTTACTGGCTGGGCTTAAACCACGAAAACTTTACACACAGGAGTAGTCTAAATGACAGTGAGGTTTGGTGGTTGTTACTAGTTTCACTGCTTCTACGATCAGAAGTCTTAGATGTTCTGACATATCACATACCATAAAGCCAATGATGCTCACTCAACAATTCCTGCATGAAGCATGAAATATCAGGCCTTGAACAAATAACGTAAGTTTCTATACTGCAACAGTTAGAAAATACAGATCTCATCTAGTGTCTAACATATTCTTTAGAATTCATCTGCTAAGGGTACCATTACTTGGTATGTTAGAGAGCCATGATTTATGAGACAATTCTTTCTGATCACTTTGACTTTTATTTCTGATAAATAGAAAAGAGCTTCTTTAAGAATTTAAAACTTTCTATAACTGCTTACCATGTGCACACCTAAACTGATGCTACATTTTAGTCACAGATACGGCAGTGGATGATGGAATCACAGAAGTGGGATCATATTAGCACATGCCCAAAGGGTTTTTTAAAAAGTATTGAATCAATAAATGGGGGCTGCAATGTCTTGAGATGTGTTTTTCTCTATCATGATAAACTGTGCTCTGGTCTGGGAACTCAATTTCCACTGCCACATTTTAACAATTTGATCTATGTTTCCATGCCTGTTTGCAGTCATCTTTGGTCTCTGGTGATGAAATGGAGTGACTGAGAAAACAGACTAAGTTATGTAAGAAAGAAATAGCAGATCCTAAACTAGGATTAGTACAATTCAAGACCTCAAATCCATAAAGGAACATTTACTTCCTAACCAGCAGTTACATGTAGGTTTTATTTAAACTTTCTATATTTTTCATTTTTCTCAGCTGTGAACACAAGAACTGGATAAAGTATTCCAATAGCAGTCATGACAGAAACACACACAAATACCAATTTAAACTACCTACTTTATATATGCATACTGATATTACATTATTCCAAGTACTGTTTTGGAGGAAGACCTGGGAGTCTCAGTTTAGTGCCTCCTGCCTGGAGAACACTGTTCACATTTGTCGTGGTTTAACCAATGCCAGACAGCTTGTCCACTCACCCCCCCCCCCTTCTTGCCCTCCCCTATTCTCGGAGGGACGGAGAGGAGACTCAAAAAGAATGCAACTCCCACGGGTTGAGATAAGAACAGTTTAGTAACTAAGGTATAACACAAATCACTACTGCTACCACCAGTAATAGTAATGATAAAGGAAATAACAAGGGAAGAGAATACAACACCCCATCACCAGGTGACCGATAACTCGCCCCCCAGCCCGACCAAGCACCGACCGATACCTCCTCCAACCCTGCAGTCCACCTAGCCCTTCTGGGTAACTCCCAGTTACCTCCTGGGCATGACGTGTTGGTATGGAATACTTCTTTGGTCAGTTTGGGTCAGGTGTCCTGTCTCTGCTTCCTCCCGGCTTCCCCTCCTCCCTGGCAGAGCATGAGGCTCACAAAGTCCTTGGCCAAACCAAAACATCATTGTTTTTCAGCTCTGTTCCCAGCTGAAAGTCAAAACACAGCACTGCACCAGCTACCAAGAAAGAGAAAAATGACTGCTACTGCTAAACCCAGGACAACATTCTTGTTCTCTATTAATTCCTTTCTATTCGTTGATAATAATATATTTCATTTAGTTATGCCAGCTAACCAAGAATACAGATGATTTCCTATCAGGGACCTCTCTTTCTTATTAAACTTCAGTATCATTTTCAAAACTCAGCTATGATAAGCTATGCCTCTTCCAAGCATTTATTAAATATCACTTAGGCCAGGGTGTAATTACTTTTGTGTCCATTCAAGAAATACAGCAGGTCAGTTTGTGATATTTTTTTCAGATCTATTACCTTGCTATTTAATGTGTACACGATTGTGTGTTATTCCTCTCTCTAAATTAAAATGTTGTGAGGCAAAAGATAGCATCTTATGGAAATGTAACATTAAACCTGCTGTTTTTTTTAAGAAAATCTGTAATTTTATAAAACAGGATATCTAGTTTTCTCATTTCATAGTGGGTTATCATGTATAGCAACCAAGTTTTTCAAACTCTTTTCTGTTAATCCTTGCGAATTCTATATACTGCCCTCCTTTAACTTTTTAGTTACTATGTACAGAAGCAGGCATCTAGTTTCTGCTAGGGTTGACTCTGACATATGTCCTTCCCAAATATAAAATAAGAGCAGCTATTGAATATTTTAGTTTGCTGTATGTTATTACCAACTTTTTTTTCCACTCAGTGCTGTATTACTGTAGTATTATACTATACTAGTATGACTGTGAAAATTCTTTACTTTTAAACAGTTTCACAAAGACCTCTTTTTTATTTTTTCCTTCCTTTCTCCATTTTTTATTATCTAGTTCTTGCCCATTACATTCGGCACTATGATTTTCATTTTTTCTGTTTGCTTGTTATGAATTTCCTTCTATTTCTACTCTTAACCAATACATAGTTTAAAAAATATGACTGCTGTCAAATTTTTCCTTCTATATAATAAAATGGTCTTAATATGATTCCCAAAAATCATTTACATTTTCCTCTTCAGTACTTTTTCTCTGTATTATTTAGCATATAGTGCTTTTTTTCATAATGAAATCATACCTACTCTAAAATTTTGCTGTGACTTCAGTAGCCTCTTTTGACTGATGAAGATGAAATCTAAAATTTTTAGAAATTCTAGTGACATTAAACTATTGTTAAACTTCCTAAGAAGGCTCTCAAATTGAAGTCCTCTATGATATCAGGTGGGTGAGGTTTTGGGGGTTTTACGGGTTAGAGGTTTTTTTTTTCAGTGTTTTTTTTTGTGTTGTGTGGGGTTTTTTTTGTGTTTTTGGTGTTGTTTTGTTTTTTTTTTCTAAACATAACAATTATATCCTTAGGGAGCTAATCATCTTTCAGCTTCACTCAGAAGAGGGCCTTTTTCATAAAATGTCACCTGATTTTGTTTTCATCCACTTACATAGACCAATCCTGCTGAACGCTAACCATTCTACAATTCTAGTCACAAGAATCATACCATGGAGCTTCATAAATGTCAGATTTGTCAAATATGTACTCATAAATGAGCAACTTCTCAGGCTTTGGATTACAGTCACCCCAAAAATTCCACTGATGAGTTATGGCTGCAGTTACATAATCTTTTTGTCAAAATCTTGAACTAAACCTTTTTGCATTTTGTTTTGATGTCTTCTATCTCAACAAAGCATTTCAATACGAAACTAGAGTTGGTTAAAAAGGCAGCCTTGGGTAGTAATATTATGCCATTCCTTTCTGATACAGTTTAAACAATGTTTTGCAGTCTTCTCTTGATAACAGACTTCTCACTGGGCTTCCTGTGAGCCCAGGACTCCCCCTTTCTCTTTGTTGCATTGAAGCTACATGTCATTTCAAGACTGGCAGTAATTATTTTTTTTTCCTATGCTGCCTGAATCTCCCAATAATATAAGTCTAAAAAGCATTTGAAACTGTCATAAGAGTATCTAAGTAGACTCTTAAAACCACATTTTCTTCAGTCCATTTTGTCCTAAAGTGTCTTTCTTTGCTTTCATATTTGTTTTTGAGGCTTAAAGTTTGACCTTTTTGCGCTGTAGCCTATATATTCATTTCCACAGGGCAAGTCAGTCTGTTTGCAGCCCATTTTTATCTCTCTGTGTTGATCCAGCCAAATATACACTTGCTGTAAGGTTTATGAAACCAGAATGCCAGTTTTCAGCAAGAGCAAATGAGAATTCAATGGACCAAATCAATAATCCCGAACACAGATATTTGTTTGATAAATTGGTGACTGTGACAATAAGTGGGCACAACAATAATTTTTTATGTACGTTGGTAGACTATCTTATGAACTTAATCATAATGTCTCAAATAATGATACAGTATGTCCATTCCTTTTTATCAATCCACTTACATATATTATAATTATCGGTGTGTTATTTGTACTACAATTAAGCCAAAAGCAAATTCGACACCCTATTATGTTTAGTATTTCTACAGGATAATGCTGGAGCCTTTACTGACTGCGTACTTGCTCAATTTGGAATTCTATCATCCCTTTTAGCTAATTAATAATACAAGGGATCTCGTCATGCTTAAGGCATGGAGAATAACTGTTGATGAAATGTCACCATTTAAAATGTCAGCTGCAAATGTCTTTGGTGATACACTTCTAATAGTCTGTCCACTGCAGGAGCAGTAAGCTGGAAAAGGGATGACTTGACATCATGACCTGCTGGGAAAAGGGGGGTCTAGATTACTAAGTCAGAAACTTTTCCTTTATCAGAATTTTCCAATCAATGTCAGCTCTAAATAAAAAAAAACACTGCTTCTTAAACATTCTTTACCAAATGGAAAGAGTTTGTGGAGAAATAGAAAAAGCCTCCAAAGCTGTAAAGAAAAAATACTTACCAAATAGGTATTAAGACCTACACAACATGTACATTAGAGCCTAACAATGCAGTAACGTGGATCAGAATAGAAAATGGTGTCCAGGAGCAAAAAACACTACTAGCCGTCATTGCCAGAGAAGATATGTACATCTCATTATACCTGCAAAAGAAACATGGATTTGTAATAACCATAATAAGTGAACCATAAAATATACAAACAGAAATCTCTGCTCTTCTTTCTGTCAGGCATAACACCAGTGGTCAAACTTCAACAAATCAGGCCTTGATCCAAAAAGATTCTTTCAAATTTTGGTTAGTTTAAACATGTCTGTAGTTTAGTTAGTGACATCTCTGACTACACTATTTTTTTTAATGTTGGAGGACATGACTGTGTGAGCTTAATTTAATTTCTGGAAGTAAAAAGACATTTCATATGATGGTGGAAGAAAGTTTACTTACAGGCCTGTCAATTGCTCTTATCTGAAGAGGATAGAAAGTGAAATAGAACAAGCTCTTCCCATCAGTAAATGGCAGCCAGGTTATGAGACAGCTTGTCAGAGATGACAGGATATCTTACAGCTCATAATATGAAAATAGAGAATTGTCCGTCTTCATCGAATTAGTAGAAAATTTATACTGTCCCATTCCAGATGGAATTGTACTTATTCTGCCAAGGTAGGGGAATTTTAAAGCACCCTTAGAGAAGAAATCAGAGGCACTTATTATAAGTACCCATTGCCAATAAAAAACTGTTCTTCATTTCATTTGCTCTTTGTCTTAAACAAAACCACACATAGCTAAGTACCAAATACCCAGTTCTTCTAGACAGCTGGACTCTAATAACTGAAATTCACATCCAATCAATGTAAATGTTATTAGGCTGTGTGCCCCTTTTTGTCTGTTCCAGCTGAGTGGATTGTTCAGTTAGTTCATAGAGAAGCAATGTATTTTGGTTTACTTTCAAGGATCGTGGATTACCAAGCCACATTAAAACAATTCCTAAGGAGAAAAAATACAATTGACACTAACATTACTCTTGGGAAAAAACTGCATTTAATTAATATCACCAGATGCAGTGACTACATATATTTTTGAAAATCATTAGGGCTACTTCTTGGCCTATTTAAAAGTCAGCTAGGTAGAAGACAAGAGAAGAAAATGTATGTGTAAACAATGGAATGCAGAACACATGCTTTATCTGTTAAAGAGTGATCTAATATAGAACAGTAATCCTACCCATATGGTGGGGCATATAAAGAAAAAGGAAAGATCAGCAATTTCAACACTTCTGGGGGATAAAAGTTAAAGATAATTTATAAGACTCAAGAGGAAAACAATTTTACTACATATGAAGGAGCTGGAATGATGTTGCTAAGACACTGTCCATCACATTTGAAAAATCATGGCAGTCCGGTGAAGTTCCTGACAACTGGAAAAAGGGAAATATAACACCCATTTTCAAAATGGGGGAAATCGATTACCCAGGGAATTACAGACTAGTCAATCTCATCTCTGTGAGACTGTGCCTGGCAGAATCTTGGAGCAGATTCTCCTGGGAAGCTTGCTAAGGCACATAAAAAACCACAAGGTGGTTGGTGACAGCCAGCATGGCTTCACTAAGAGCAAATCATACCTGACCAAATTGGTGGCCTTCTATGATGGGACTACAGAACTAGTGGATAACGGCAAAGTAGCTGACATTATCTACCTGGACTTGTGCAGAGCTTTCAACACCGTCCCACACCACAGAGAATCATACAATAGTTAGGGTTAGAAAGGACTTTAAGATCATTTAGTTCCAATCCCACTGCCATGGGCAGGGAAGCCTTACCTTAGACCATGTTGCCCAAGGCTCCTTGTCTCTAAACTGGAGAGACATAAATCTGATGGATGGACCACTAGGTGGATAAAGAATTGGCTGGATGGCCACAGCAGAGAGCTGTGATCAATGGCTCAGTGTCCAATTGGAGACTAGTAATGAGTGGTGTCCCTCAGGGGTCAATGGTGGGACTGATTCTGTTTAACATCTTTGTTGTTGACATGGACAGTGGGATTGAGGTGCCCTCAGCAAGTTTGCCAATGACACTAAGCTGTGTGCTTCTCTGGAGGGAAGGAATGCCATCCAGAGGGAGTTTGACATGCTTGAGAGATGGGACAATGCCAATCCTATGAAGTTCAACAATGAGAAGTGCAAGGTCCTACACCTGTATCAGGGCAATCCCAGGCACAGCTACAGGTTAGGTGGAGAAGAGATTCAGAGCAGCCTTGCAGAGAAGGACTTGGGGATGTTGGTCAACGAGAAACTGAACATGAGCTGGCTTCAGTGTGTGCTCACAGCCCAGAAAGCCAACCATGTACTGGGCTGCATCAAAAGGAGCATGACCAACAGGTCGACGGAGGTGATCCTGCCCCTCTACTCTGCTCTTGTGAGATGTCACTTAGAGGACTGTTTGCAGTTCTGGTGTCCTCAACCTAAGAAGAACATAGAGCTGTTGGAGTAAGTCCAGAGGAGAGCCATGAAGATGATAATGGGGCTGGACCTCCTGTATTAAGACAGGGTAAGAAAGTTGGGGCTGTTAAGCCTGGAGAAGAGAAGCTGCATAGAAACCTTGTACGAGCCCCTCCAGCATCTGAAGGGGACTTACATGTATGCCAGAGAGGGACTCTTCATCATATACTGTAGCAATAAGGCAAGGGGTAATGGGTTTAACCTTAAGCAGGGGAAGTTCAGGTTAGATATAAGGAAAAAGTCCTTTACCTTGAGGTTGGTGAGGTGCTGGCGCAGGTTGCCAAAGAAGTGGTGAATGCCTCATCACTGGCACTGCTCAAGGGCACATTAGACAGAGCCTTGGGCGACATGGTCTAGGGTTAATTGTCCCTGCCCATGGCAAGAAGTTGGAACTAGATGACCTTAAGGTCCTTTCCAGACCAAAGCATTCTATGATTCTATAATGGAAGGAAATAGAGGTCTGTATCAGACGGTATAGATTGTATTCTCCTGATTATCTTTATACAAAAGCCCAGCAACACAAACAAACAGAGGTTCAATAAATCATTTCAGATTTCAAATTTATCATTTGCCTACCAGTTTGATCCCATGAAGCTCCATACAATTTCCTCATTGACCTTGCTTATGAGTTTACCATAGTTCTTTATTTAAAAGCATCACTACTATTATGTTTAGTGTCAGAAAAATAGAGGTTATCCTTATATCAGCCCTTACAGGGTCCTGCTGGTACAACCATCGTAAAGAAATAAGAACAACTGCTATTTACAATTAAAATGAGAGATACAGGCAATAATTAAAAGTAATATTTTTTGATCTTTCTCTTTTAGTAACTTAATAGGCAAGAACATACTGGGGATAATCCAAGGTTTGCAGACAATTTTCTGTTAAGTAAAAAAGATAAGAATGAAATATTGCATATAGCCAGATACTAAAAATGTCTGTTGAAACAAATTATCTGACAATAATCCAATTACTTGTTGCTTGCAGAACTATAATTTGTTAAGTATCTCCATTCATTCTGAGTCAGTTCTCCATTACTGAAATTCATCAAAGGTTTATTCAGGTCTCTCAACCTATTTACATCTTTTGTGTCCAAAAAAGTACAGCATCATTAAACTTTCAGACCTCAAAGGTAGGGTCATGTCTTTTGATATATTTACATATTTCACATTGTAAGAAGTTGGCACACAATAACCGATCCAGTGACTACAACTTTATCACTATTTAAAAAATTTTTGTATGCATTTTTATAATTTCTAACATCAGCTGGAGATTAAAAGCAGTTTTATTCCTATCTACCCAAACACCTGAAAAAAAAAATCAAATCTACTATCTATATAAAACCAGAGCTTTTTGCTTTTATTACAATGGACCCTTATCATGGTTCAGTACGTATTGAGAACAGGTCAGTTTTCACATTAAATATCTTTTGAGAATGTATATCCGTGTAACTATTTAAATATTTAGATTTCAATGAAGGCATTCTAACAGACACTCAGTATGAAAACTGAACTTTATTACAACACAACAAGAAGCAGCAGTTAGGAATAGAAGAGATAAAAAATTCATTCCTCTAAATTAGCAAACTGAGCAGCTTTATAGGAAGTATTTAGGTCTGGGAGATGCCCAGATCTGTCCTGTTAAAGGTACTGAAAATCTTCATCTGGGACTCAAAGAAGATGTTATTTTTATTTGGGATTCAGAAGAGCTGAAACAAAATTAGCCTTTCTGACTTTGATTAGAGAGGCAGAAACAAATATTCCTCCTTTGTTTAATATTTAACAGAGTCATCAAGGATGAGGAAAATCGTGGTATTATATAGCAATATATAGGTAGCATATGTGTGCATATCATATATACACTTTATTATCAAAGCATATATTGATACTTTTTCTGTGTTTCTGAAGCATATGCAAATCAATGTATCCTTCAAGGTGGCTCTAACTACTAAATATTCTGAATTAAGTTAGAAACCTTTTACCAGGGAATGCATATTAACTAAAAATGGCTCATCTTCAACAGGCAAAACACTGAAAAAAAAACCATCATCACCCAATTGTTGGCATGGTTTGCTGGGAAGTGTGATGTTATAAGCAGATTTCTCTCAGTACAGAAAGACAGAGCTGGAATTTGTTTGTTCATAACCCACATGACTGCTCTAACCACTTGGATGGATATTGCATGAAAAGGTGGCAATCAACTTTTTCATCCCCATAGGCATGTTCTGAGGACACTCTTCTTTTGAGAAGGCAGACTCAGTAAAATCCCTGTAATATTTTAGCTCCTCGTTGAATCCAAAACAACTTCTGGAGAAACTTTATTCAGAGAGTACTCTGAAAACATCAAAAATCTCTGTACATTTTAATAATTAACATCTTCATATATTCTATCATCTATACACCTGCAATCATGTAGGCAATATAATATAGTAATACTGATATTTTCTAAAAATGTAACTTAGAAAACAATGGTGTAGGCAAAACAAGCTTCTTCAGTACTGAATTAATTCTGTTACATCCAAGCCTCTAAAAGCCTTGACCCCGATATTCCAGTAATACTTAGATTTATTATTTTTTTTTAGCTAATTTATTTCATCTACTCTAGGCTGTATTTGAAATAA